AAAGCAGCCATTACCTCTTTTTTCTTTTTTTTTTATTGTTGAAATATAGTTGACATACAATGTTGTATTAGTTTTGGGTTTATAACATAGTGATTAGTGATTTGACAAGTCTATACATTACTCAGTGCTCATCATGATAAATGTAATTACCATCTGTCATGATACATTATGATTACAGTTATTATTGAATGTATTCCCTGTGCTGTACTTTTTATCTCTGTAGCTTTTTTTTTTCTTTTTAAGGATCTTATTTATTTATTTGACAGAGAGAGACACAGTGGGAGAGGGGGCATAAGTAGGGGGCATGGGAGAGGGAGAAGCAGGCTTCCAGCTGAGCAGGGAGCCCTATATGGGGCTCGATCCCAGGTTCTGGGATCATAACCTGAGCCAAAGGCAGCTGCTTAACAGCTGAGCCACCCAGGCAGCCCTGTAACTTATTTTATTTAATACTTATTTAATACTGGTACAGTACTTTGTACCTCTTAATCCCCCTTATCTATTTTGCTTGTCACCCACCCACTTCCCCTCTGGCAACCATCAGTTTTCTGTATTTAAGAGTCTGATTTGTTTTGTTTTTTAGGTTCTCCTTGTAAGCAAAATCATATTGTATTAGTCTTTCTCTAATTTCACTTAGCATGATATCCTCTAGGTCCATCCATGTTGTCACAGATGGCAAGATCCCATTCTCTTTTATGGATGAATAATATTCCTTTGTGTATATTTGTATGCTCTGTTTTCTTTATCCATTCTTCTATCAGTGGACATTTGAGCTGCTTCCATGTCTTGGCTATTGTAAATTATGCTGCAACAAACATATGGGTGTATGTATCTTTTTTAATTAGTGTTTTTGTTTTCTTTGGGTAAATACCCAGTAGTAGAGTTACTGGATCATATGATATTTCTATTTTTAATTGTTTGAGGAACCTCCATAAGTGTTTTCTTTTCCACAATGGCTACATCAATTTACATTCCTATCAGCAGTGAACAAAGGCTTGCTTTTCTCCATATCCTTGCCAACACTTGTTATTTCCTGTCTTTTTGATACTAGCTATTCTGACGGGTGTGAGGTGATATCTCGTTGTGGTTTGGATTTGTATTTCCTTGATGATGAGTGATGTTGAGCATCTTTTCATGTGTCTGTTGACCATTTGTATATTTTCTTTTTCTTTTTTTTTAAAGATTTTATTTATTTATTTGACAGAGAGATCACAAGTAGGCAGAGAGGCAGGCAGAGAGAGAGAAGGAAGCAGACTCCCTGCCAAGCAGAGAGCCTGATGTGGGCTCGATCCCAGGACCCTGAGATGATGACCTGAGCCGAAGGCAGAGGCTTAGTCCACTGAGCCACCCAGGCGCCCCTGGCCATTTGTATATTTTCTTGAGAAAGATATCTATTCAGATCCCTTGGGCATTTTAAAATCCGATTGTTTGGGGTGTTTTTGGTGTTGATGTATATAAGTTCTTTATATACTTTGGGTATTATACTTTATTGGATATGTTGTTTACAACTATCTTTTCCAATTCACTAGGCTGGCCTTTTGTTTTGTTGATGGATTCCTTTGCTGTACAAATGCTTTTTATTTTGGTGTGGACTTACTTATTTTATAACTGAAAGTTTGAACCTCTTAATCCCTTTCACCTCCTTACCCATGACCTCATCTTCACCTCTGGTCTGGCAACCACCAGTTTGTTCTTTGTATTTAAGAATTTGGGTGTTTTGGGCACCTGGGTGGCTCAGTGGGTTAAGCCGCTGCCTTCGGCTCAGGTCATGATCTCAGGGTCCTGGGATCGAGTTCCGCATCAGGCTCTCTGCTCAACAGGGAGCCTGCTTCCCTTCCTCTCTCTCTGCCTGCCTCTCTGCCTACTTGTGATCTCTGTCTGTCAAATAAATAAATAAAATCTTTAAAAAAAAAAAAAAGAGTTTGGGTGTTTTGTTTTGTTTTGTTTTGTTTTAAGATTCTGCATATAAGTGGAATCATGTGGTATTTATCTTTCTCTGTCTGGCTTATTTCACTTAGCATGATAATACCCTCTGTGTCCATCTGTGTTGTTGCAAATGGCAAGATTTTTTCTTTTTTATCAGCCATTATCTTCTTATTAATGCTTGGGGTATATATGTCTTGACTTTTTCTATGTGTCTGTCTCAAAGTTGTATTGACACATTTTATGCTGCTTTCCCTGTCATGAGTTGAGTGTTTGGATGGGCATAGTCCTTGGGTGCAGTCCAGAAGCATGTTCTTTTATTAGTGCTGTAGCCTCTTATGATGTTGGAAATAGTATTTCTCTGCAAATGGAAACAGTACCTGTTTTGAAGTCCAAAGACCTGAGATCCTGCTCTGACTCCCCTTAGGTTTGTGAGCTTGAGAGAGGCACTTAATTTCACTCTCCCCATCTTTACAAGGAACTGTAATACTTACTTTGTGATATCTTATCTGCCAGGGTGGTTATAATGAAAACAAAACCAAAACCATATCACATGCTGAAGAGGATGTGGAGCAGCCAGAACTCCCATGCCCTGCTGGCGGGAGTGTAAACTGCGTCAGCCACGTGGGTAGACGATTCTCTCCTGAAGCTGAACATACACTTATTAAGACCTAGCATTTCCGCTCCAGGGTGTCAACCCTATAGAAAGGCATACAAATGTGTACCAAATGTCTTTCTCAACAATGTTTGGAGCAGCACCACCTATCATAGGCCAGGCTGGAAAATCCCAGTGTCCATCAGCAGTAGAATGGACACATCCATGTGGTAAACTCCCACAGTGGACAGCTGTAGTCAGTAAGAGTTAATGAATAACAATTCGATGAAAAATCAGGATGAATGTCCCAGGTATCGTATTCATTCAGACACAAAGATTATAAACTCTGTGATCCCATTCATTTAAGATTTGAACAGAACTCATCTACGCTGTTGGAAATGAGAATAGTGGCTATCCTTGGGGGATGGGATGTGGTAGAAGGGGATGCAGTGGTTTCTGGAGTGGGGCGGCTGGTGATATTCTTTCTCTCTGTCTGGCTGCTGGGTGCATGTATTCACTCTGAGAATTCTTGGATGTGTGCACTTACGCTGTGTGCACTTTTCTGTATGTATATTGCACATCTGTAGAAAGTGTGTTTAAGTAGGCTCCATGCCTAGTGTGGAGCCTGAGATCAAGTCGCATGTGCTACTAACTGAGCCAGCCAGGTGCCCCTGTAGAAAGTGTATTTAAAACACTGACAGAGGGGTGCCTGTGTGGCTCAGGCAGTTAAGTATCTGCCTTTGGCTCAGGTCATGATCTCAGGGTCCTGGGATCCAGCCCTGTGTAGGGCTCCCTGCTCATTGGCAAACCTGCTTCTCCCTCTTCCTTTGCCCCTCCCCCAGCTCATGCTCTCTCTCTCTCTCTCTCTCTCTCTCCCTCCCTCTCTTTCTCAAATAAATAAAATCTTAAAAAAAAACAAACACTGGAAAAAGGAAGCATATGAGTCACATGCTCCTATTAAAACTTAATTAATGAGAATGAAGGTTTTTTGTACTGTTGGTGAATAATGTAAAATAATCTTTTTACCTTATTTATTTCATCTTTATTGCTGTAATAATTTCTTTTAAAATGTATGGAACACTTTGGTACGTTAGAATGTATGTTTAACTTACAAATAAACATCTGTATTTTAGAGGTGTTGGCTTAATAATTCTCAGCTGTTGGTAGTAAAGGGTCAGGAAGTTTGGTGAGCCACGGCTCGGGGTCATGACAAGGGGGCAGCCCGAGCAGAGCCTGGCTGCAGGAAGCAGGTGGGAAACAGGTGGGTGAGTGGGTGAGCCTCAAGCAGTTCAGTGGACATTCTGTGTTTGGGTTGGTTTTTTTGTTGCTGCAGCATAAAGTGTGAGACACAGGAGGTGGCAGTGAAGCTGGGGCCAGGCCTCCAGGGCAAGGGCTGCCGGGAAGCTCTGAAAGGTGAGAGGACAAAAGCAGCGGAGGAGGCCAGAGATAAGGGGATAGGAAGAGTTTCCAGAAGGAGGGCCTAGTGAACTATGTTTAAAGCTACCAAGAGGTGGGAGAGCCTGAGGCCCGTAGCCTCAGCAAATTGGTAGGTCTTGGTGGCCTGGGAGGGAGCAGCTCCACTGCTTAGGTAGAGTGTTACCCAGTGGCTGGTAGTGAGAGCGTGCGGTACTGAGGAGGACAGGGTGTCTGATGGGAAGCAGCCTGGAGTTCAAGGGTCAGAGCTCTTTTGAAGACTGAGGAGGACGGCAGGTGTTCTCACGTAGAGGGTAGGACCAAGAGAATTTAAGAGATTGGGATTACCAGGAAGGGGGTTGCTGAGCCCCAGGCCCAGGCCAGGGGTTGGCTCTGGGTCGCAGGCGGCTAGCTGCCTCTCTCAGAGGTGGGAGCAGAGGACCTGGGGAAGATAGAGAAATATTTAGGTTAAAAGAGGGGCCCAGGAGAGCTGAAGTCAGCTTTCCTCTGTGAAGGAGGTGGTGTAGCCACTCACCTGGGTGAGGAGTGAGAGGTGGAGGTGTGGAGAGAGGGGGTGCTTTGGAGGACAGAAACCAGCGACGGGGGGCCTTTTCAGTGCCCCCCGCCCCGTGCAGGATGCTCCTCTGTGTCAGTGGGTCGCCGAGAGGCTGCCTCTGCGTTGGGGCCTGTCAGGCCCTCCCTCCCTTGTCACACGCACTCTTGTTTCAACGGCTGTGTGCTCTGAGGGCAGGGGTGTTTGTTTTTGGGCACTGCGGAGTCCCTTTCCTGCTGGGTAGTGTCCGAGGCCACGGATGGTACTTCAGGCCTGCCAGAATGCATTTTCCCACCAAAGAAGTTGAGTTGATTTTGATACATTTAGGATATGCTCTGCTACCTGGTAGGCTAGTGGTGGTATCAAATATTGATCTATGGGAAAAGTATTTGACATTTCAAAGAACAGGTTGAAATCCGATCTTAGCTAACGTTGGTCTGACCTTGCTGAGCTTTGAAAAACGAGTCTTACCGTACGGAAACATCGGAGTCAATGGAGTTATTCCTCCTACTTTTACAGTGGCTACTGTTTGGAAAGCGACGTGCTGGGATGGTATATCCTCTTGGCCTGGGATTATGAAGCCCATCATGTATTCCTGGTAAGTTGGTTTATGGACCTTCGTGAGATGCGCTTTCTTGGGCTTAGGGCCGTGGCAGACAGGTGCTGGAGGGGGCGCGGCAGGACCGGTGATCGGGGGCGGTGCAGCCAGAGAAAGCTCGTACCTGATGGTGTCCGCGGGGCTGGGGAGCTGCAGCCTGGCTTTCGGAGGCCGGGCGTCCTCAGCTGGGTGTGCAGAGGGGTTTCAGGGATTCCTTTGCAGATTAAATGCTGAGCTTTTCTCTGCTGGTTCTTGTATCAAGGGCTTTCCCTTTCTTCCTCCACCTCCTACTTGTGCAAAACCTCTTGTTGCTACCCTGTTGTGTTGCCGCCCCTTTGCTTCTGGTGGTCAGAAGGCAGACGTTCTGTGTCTCACTCCCCAATAGCTGGGACCTCTGTCAGGTCCCCATCCCTCCCCGCACACGCCTGTCCTCTTTCCAGTTCAGCTGCCCGCGCCGCTTTCACTCTCCTTGCCTCAGACCTTCCTTCCCCAGAAAGGCCAGCTCTTGTGTGAGGTGCTTGGCCATGGGAGGAAGGCAGAAGGCCAAATAAGATGTGGTCATTGTCTTCAAGAGACTTCACTCTACAGGTCAACCTCTTGTCCTACCCGCCCCCTTTCTTGCTCCCTGAGAGTCTGTGCATCCTCTCTGGCACCTCTTCCAAGAATGTTTTCCTGTATTACCCAGCTGCTGGAGAAGCTCCTTTTCTTTTCATTTCATTTCATTTCATCTCATTTCATTTCATTATTTTTATTTATTTTTTTATTTTATTGAAAGATTTTATTTATTTGAGAGATAGAATGAGAGAGAGAGAGAGAGAGAGAGAGTGAGAGTGCGCACAAGCCAGCAAAGAGGCAGAGGGAGGGAGAAATAGACTCCTGGCTGAGGAGGGAGCCCGATGTGGAACTTGATCCCAGAACCTTGAGATCATGACCCAAGCTGAAGGCAGAGGCTCAACCAACGGAGCCACACAGGTGCCCCTATTTTATTTTGTGAAGACTTTATTTATTTGAGAGAGAGTGCAAGTGTGTGCATGAGCAGGGGGAGTGGCAGGCAGAAGGAGAGGGAGAAGCACACTCCCCACAGAGCATGGAGCTTGATGAGGGGCTCCCTCCCAGGACCCTGATATCATGACCTGAGCCAAAGGCTCTCTCTCTCTCAAATAAATAAATACAACTTTTGAAAAAAAATCTTTTTCAGATTCTTCTAGTAGCCTTACCCCTCCGTCAAACCATTATCATGAAAGAGGCAGAAGGTGAAGTTTCTGATGGTTTCCTGCTAGGGATTCAGTCTTCCTTGATGTTGCATGATTAACTACAACACAAGCATTTCATGCAGTGCTTAGTAGAAGCACTTTCCCAGAAACGTACCTCCTGGTGGGAACTGGTTCCCTTAAGGAGGATGCTGGAGACAACTGCTGGTTTAGAGGCGGGAGCACACAGCAAAGAGATTTGGAGGAAAGTGATTTCCCTGAAATCACACAGCAGGTTAGTGGCAGAGCTGGGATTGGACTCCCTGTGTGTGCTCTTGGGTCTGGTGAGAACTGGATTCCGGGATGAGATGCCTGGTTGGGTCAGTTGGAAGAGCACGTGACTCTTGATCTTGGAGTTGTTGGAGTTTGAGCCTCAGGCTGGGTGTAGAGATTACTTAAAAATAAATTTTAAAATATAAACTTAAAAAAAAATTAAAAGAAAAAAGACAAAAAAAAGTGGAACTGGATTTCAGGGGAAAGGCTGTGACTGCCCACTTGTGGTTCATGGGTGATCTGGGCAGGATTACGCCTGGCCTCTGCCGGTGGGAGACGACTCCTCTTTCCTGTCCTCACCTGGGTGGGGACCAAAGGGCAGAGGATCCTTCCCTGCTACTCAGCGGGAGATGCTGTTCACCCGTGTATTTCCCTTGAGCTCTCTTGAACAGAGGCTCTCAGGCTGTCGGGGCCCTGAGGCTTGCTGTGCTGCAGGAGCCCAGGCTGTCTGTCATGAACAGGGGCTACAGCAACCCGTGTCCTTCCACAGGCGGAGACAAATGACGACACATGTTCGGGGACTTGGTCGTAGAAAGGAGGGAAGCCAAACTTCACACTTGGAACAGTAGCTTCTTTGAGGCAGGATGAATGGGACGGACGCCTTCAGAACTTTAATTCACTTTAATTCACTCCCAAAGGGGTGAGACGGGAGTGTGCCAGAGGCTCTTCTGGGACGAAAAAACGTGGCTTTTAAACTCAGAGATCAGTAGAAGTTGTTGAAATTAATGATTTGGGAGGCCAAAGAGAAGAAATGCCTCACAACCCAGAACAATGATACAAAGAAATGGAAATAATGCATTAACAGGTAAGACACTTAGAGCCAGGAGTCTGGCTGGGGGCCAGTAGAATAGAAAATTCCAGAAGGAGAAAAAGGAGCAGATAGAGGCATAATAGAAAAACAGTAGAGGGAAATTTCAGTGAACCGAAGAAAGACGTGATTCTTCAGACTCTGGATTCATCTGGCTCACACTGAAGACAACACTTAACTTGTTTTCTAGTAAAATTCCTAAACTCCAAGAAGAAAGAGAAAAATCTTAAAATTTTGTATGGAGAAAGCAGGTTTTCAAAGGAAAGAGAATTAGATTCTCATTGGGCTTCCCACATGTGACCCTGGAGGTGGGAAGGCCGTGGACCGGTGTCCGCAGACTTCCAAGGAGAGGGGCCGCGGGCCTCTATACACCTAGCCCAGAAGCCACCCCAAAAGGCGTTTCAGACACGTAATGGCATAAAACATACAGTGTCTGTTCAGTGCAGCTGAGAAGATGCCCGGTCAGTTTCTGCAGTGGAAGGACAGTGAAATCGGGGCAGAGACGGTGAGACCAGGCAAGAGCGCAGGAAGCAGGGGGGAGCGGTGTGCCTGTCATGCGTACGCTTTTATCTCGGGGGCTGGTGCTGCTGCGAGGTGGTTTTTGCCATGTTGAGTTCATAATAAGCTGAAAATAAAAGTTCTAAACCACGTTTGCAAAACCTCAGGCTTGGGAGAAGGGCTGAGAGCGGGGAAGGAAGCGGTCCACTCTTGGGACACTAATTAAACAGCAGATGAAACAGAGGCGTAGTTGTTTACTTGTGTTCTGGAAGGAAAAATGTTCAGTTTTGACTTTTGGGGATCAGAAGGTACATTAGGATGAGATTTGGTTGCATATAGTAGATATGCCCTGTATAACAATGACATAAACAGTAAGGTTTTATATGTTTTCATCTCATGAAAAAGTAAAGAGGTGGACAGTGCTCGGGAAAGAGTTCGTGAGCCTTGGAGCCCATGGACCAGCTCCTGACGCAGCTTGCATGACCCTCTACTGGAGGTCTTGGAGAGGCAGCTGAGTGTTGCCAGAGCTGTGGCACTCGGGGAAGGAAGACGAACACGTGATTCAGGACAACCGTGACGAGTGCCACGGAGGAGGAGGAAGACAGAATAGAGGGGGTCACAGAAGGGTTCCTGGAGGAAGTAACGTCTGAAATGAGACTGGAAAGGAGAGCAGGAAGGAGCCAGAAGAGGGGGGAGAAGGATGCTTTCACAGCCCCTGTGGACACGTGACTGTGAGAGACAGCAGGATAGGCATGGCCACCGGTGAGCTCCAGACACTGTTTGGCACCTGTTCTTGTCTGCACATCTGTCCTTCAGTGGCTGGATGCCACATCCACGGGGCTGGCAGGGGGACCGCATGCTCCCCCATAGAACATGCTCCCCCACAGGTGGGTTTGGTACCTCCCAGCCCCTTGTTTGCTTCCCCGATGGGGACCACAGCCCTGCCCACTTGGGAATGGGTTGGAATGCAAGGAATCAGGTTAAGGAAGCCCCTGGAAAGCAAGGATAGCAAGGATAGGACATGGTGTTCAGATGAAGCCATTACTGGTTGGGCGTGTTGAAGGTGTCCATAGCGAGCCTGGGAGCGATCCCGGCTAGTGGGATCATTAAGGCGAGTCTCACTGCTTTTAGCTGAGGCTGCTCCTGGGAGGTAGCTTCCACCGGGTCCTGCCCGAGCTGACTCTGAGCCTGAACCCAGAGTGTGCTGTCCCCCCACCGTGACCCCCTCTCACATCAGCCCCAAGTACTCACATCACTTCTTCCTTCCCCCACCCTCCCCAGTGCTGCAGGGGTGCTTGTACCTGCCGGAAGGCCTTCTCTGCTTGAAGTCTTTTGTGCAGTCCTTGAACCTTTTTGGGGGGCAGCAGAACCAGGTGACTGGGGGTGCTGTTGGAGTGGCTTAAGCATCGCAGTCTTGCTCTGACCTTGCCCCTTGTCACAGTAGGTTTGGGGAGTAGTTCCTCCATCTTTATTGAGAACACAGCCGACTGCTGGGTACCGTGCTGGGAGCTGCGGCTCAAATACTGAGGACTTCCTGTGCCAGACACTGTAACAACACTTAACCCACAGGGACACCTCAGCTCAGGGACTTAATGCCTGCGGAGCCCTGAGATGAGCGCCTGGCACCCCCAGCACTCACGAGTGCCAGTGGCTGGTGCTGCTGGTCCTCACAACAGCCGCACGAGGGGGGCACAGAGGGACAGCTGAGGCTTAGAGAGACACTTGCCTGCCATCACGTAGGTGGTAGGTGGCAGAGCTGCATTCAAACCCAGAGCATTGGACTTGCAGGTGCCGTCTCTGGGGGCGAATGAGATAGCCGTGACTCACCTCACAGAGCTCGTGGCTGAGCGGGGAGATGCCCGGGGAGATTCCCTGACAGGGCGACAGGTGCTGTGGCGGGCTAAATGGAAGGCACACAGTGGAGCGGCCCTCCATAGACTGAGGAGCAGAAGGACAGAGAAGGGACAAGTGTCCCCAGCAGAGCCCTCGGTGTGATCAGTGTCCCCTCCCTGTCACCCGGGGGTTATCCCTCCGTCTCCTCTGGGCTCTGGTGAAGAGGCACTGGTTCAGTGGTCTGTGCGCACGCTCAGTTAGGGAGTGATCCTTGAGGGCAGGTATGGAACTGCTTGTCCCAGCCACTCTTGGGACCTTGTCCCTTAGGAACTCCTACT